TTTTATTAAAATGTACGGAATGTGTCTTGTTCAAAGAGGTGATGGTTTTTAATATGTAGAGCTGTGGTAAGTAGCACCTTTCATTGTTTTCAATGCAGCTCCTAGAACTTCTTTCGGTTCTTTGGGCTGATTAAGTGTGGCTGCTCATAATGGTCATCTGTGCAATGACTATTAGTGGGTCTGTGAGCAAAGTGAGCATGTGGACCATGTGCACATTTACATGACACAAGTAGAATATACCAGTACTTACGCTGAGTAAGTACTTTCAGATGAGAACAGAATTGCTCAGGTCCTTATGTACTTGTTATGTGTAAGATCTCTCCAGTTTGTTCTGCACTAGTGATACAGAACAGCTGTGGCAAGAGCTGGAATTCCTTAAATCAGTGAATGGTGACTGAAGCAAAAATGTTTGATTTGTGACACCCTTCAGCAGAACATTTTTAAAAGCCAAAATTTGCATCTTGTGAATGGATATTTTAGGAAATTGTGTATATGGTCACTGTTGGATTTCTCCAATTTTGAGTTGTTTCCTAGATTTTCAGAGGACAAGTAAATGTTATATATAGAATTGGATGCCAAATAATCAGGTTACGTGTTTTTTCCCTCTGAATTCCAAAGAAATTAGTTAAAATTACCCTTTGAGAAGTGTGATCTTTGCTGAATTAAGGAACAACTGTATAAATGGGACTAAAATGTCAGACTAATCCAGGATGGTCCTCAACCCCACAATTGTTGGGTTTTTTAGGGTCTTGGGTGCTCTTGTGTAGAAGCAGAACTTGATAGAAATGTGAGCACCTTCACCTAGATTAGTCTGTAAGGCAGTGGTAAGGTGAGGCCCCCAGGCACCAAGGAGTGTCTCTCCACCATGTGCAGAGGCTGATGAGTCATGGCTGCCTATCACAGGAGCATGAGTCACTGAGCTGTTATGCAAAAGTAGATGATTCCAGAGGCTATGTTTAAAAGGCAATTAGTAGTTGCTCCTGTGACTGTAAGAGGCTTGATCCTGTCTTTGTGTATGCTTTTGTTTGTGGAGTATGCTTACTGGAGTGTGGGAGCCTGATTGTGATATTTTAGGCAAAGAAATGAGAACTTCTGGATCTTGATCCAGTTTAGATTGGAGGGAGGCACTGAGCTTTTTTGGACTGCAGTAGTTCTGGACACACCCAGAAGGAGAACTTCAAAGTTTTCAAAGAATTTAAAGTAAAACAGAGAGGCACCTTCAGGGTTAGGTGGAGTTACTTGCAGTTTTTGTTTTACCAAAAATGTCTGCTCCATGTAAGCCTCAGAGCTCTTCATCAGATATAATGCTAGATTTCTCTGTTATGCAGCTTTCAGAAACAAGTGTATGTTTTAATGTAGTTAATGTATATTTGAAGATGCTAAAACTCCGGTCGTAGATGTCAGCAGCTGCAGTCCATGCTGTCAGGAGTATGTAAAATTATGTCGCTAGATAAACCTGGTGCACTGTAAGGTGCTTTATCGAAGCCTTGTGAATGTAAAGAATTTTGGATGCAATCCAGAGGACTTGCATTGAACATTGTTTAATAGATGTGAACAACTAAACTAATAGACGTGCTATACCAATGTGCAAGGCAGCAGAAAGTGTGTAATACCATTTTCTTTTAAGTATTTCTAACTTTTCCTAAATAATAATAATTATTTAAAAAAAGAGAGCTTTACACATCAGTGGAAATATGACTTCTGAAAGATGCTCAAGTTTCATAGCTACTTCAAGTTGCCATTGTCAGTAGCTGGCAACATACATATCTAACCAAAAAGATAAATATTGTAGGTAATTTAACTTGGCTTGCTATATGCTTAAGTCAACAAGATAAAATAGGCTAAAAGCTAAGAGCAATTCTGAACATAATTGAATTAGCATATGTTTCTACGTGATGTATCTCACATGCTGATGTGAGTTGAAATAGAGGGTGTTGGATTGTTTCAGTAGATACTGTGCATATGCATATGTTAAGAAATTTCTGTTATGGTTAGTAGCAGATACGTATAGGTATATGTGAGTTGATAGAACCTACGAGAAGTATAGGTTTATGCAAAAAATGTCATTGGAATTCATGAAGGTGAAATACCATCCACTCACGATACACAAGGGGTATAGTCACGTGAGAAATTTCGTGACAGTTGTTTCATGATATTAAGAGGTTAGGATAACTAATTCATAGGCTATCTGCAGATTTTAAAGGGCTTTGCAGGAAGATGTTTCTTTAAGTTAATTGGCTGAGGGGGAAATCTCACTGTTGACTTCCCAGTAAGCATTCTTCTTCTTTTGTTGACTTTCTGTACAGTCTGTGATGTCTCTCCTGATATTTCTGTATATTGCATCATTTAACTCTTTGGGAACTCTTACTGTGTCCACTTCAGCAAATTTCTGGGATTGCCCATGAGCCTACTCCCTTATTTATTTATTATCCATGTCTGCCCCTTTTTGAAATATCTATTACAAATTAGTATTTGTTATATACTGTGCGATAGACACTTGTCTGAGCCCTGCTGTCAAGACTGCCAAAGGGCTGCAGTGTCTGACTACAACTGGACTGGTGGGCAGAGATGGTTAAGGAGACTCTGAAGGTAATAATGAGTCAGTGTCAGAGGAAATTTCAGCAAATACCAAGGCAAAAGATGGTTATGCTTAGCTCATAATTTGGTAGTATAACTCCTGAGACTGGCAGCAGCAGTTTGGAGGGGTTAGGATCACTCACCTTCCACTCAGTGTGGGAGGGGAAGAGACTTTAAGCAGGGTCTTTATTCTTTTCCAGTCATTTTGTGACCTGATACAAATTTTACTATATGTAATGCAACTCAGTTCATGAGAATGTCAATGAAATGATTGTCATTCCATGGTTGGTTAGTTGGGTTTGGTTTTTTGGGGCTTTTTTGTTTCTTTTGTTTTCCCTTTCTCAGTTTCACAGTTTTTATTTTCATTGTACTTGGAAGTGAAGCAGGAAATATTGCTGAAATATCAACTACTTTAATGCAGTGGGCAAAGTCTTGCAAACTCTGCTTAAGTACAGGAGTGTGGGTTGTTCTATTTGAGATATTAATATTTATCCTGCTGTAAATAGGGTTACTAGAAAATCTTTTGCTAGATAGGTCTATAGTGCTTTTAAGTCCCTTGTGGGAAGGTAATTTCATTTTTACATTTGCAAGACTTAGTGCAGTTGCTAGTACATAGTACACACATCAGGCTTTTAAAAGTTTTAATGCCAAAATTAATGCTATTTAATCCTAGTGTTGACTATAGCTGTTTCAGGTATTGTGCCCTGGATCTTCTGGAATGATTGTCATGTTTGGACATTTTCATATATCAGAAACGCCACTGCCAAAATGACATTTCTTTCAATAGGTTGTAAGCACCTAAGCACTGAAATAATTTTTAAAACTCTTAAGTCACTTAGATACATTAGCAGCTTTTAAACTATGAATGATATTTCAGAAGAAATGCATCTATGAGCTGCAGTAAGAAGTGTTTTGAAAAAGGTAGTGAAATAGGTTTAAAAGTTAAGTTTGTAATGCAACCTGACATTGACAGTGAAGATAGAGCTGAACTGAAAAAATTGAAAACATATCCATGGACTCTCTTTTTAAGAACAATCTGGAGGTCCCTACCCCAGTTCTTCACAAAACTAGATCTATAATAGTATCTTTTGTGCTTTTCAAATGAAGTGCAATTTACAAAATGGATTAGGGGAGTGCACATTTATTTTTCTGTGAGTTTGTATCCTGTAGCACTGTTCTGCTTAAGTTATCCCTCCAAACAAGGATGTTGCATAAAAGATTATTGTGGAGTGAAGAAAAATACAACCCCAAAGAGAGTACATCTGGAAAAAAAACCCTAGAATTACAAGAGCTTGAAACCATGTTGGTTACAATCCACACCACTTGCATATCATCCATTTTCAGTAAGTGATATGAAATATTATTGCCTCAGTATGTCTGGTAATTAAGAGTCAGGTTGCAGGAAGTGAGGTGTGAGGCATTTGTTTCCATCACAATTTAAGCTGTCTGTTAGTAAATAGTGTCCGGGGGAGATCTGTAATGCTTTAGTGCTGTGTATGTAGACTTGCTGAACGTTTAAAGGAATGTAGCTTTTTCTGAATCTATGTGTTAAAAGTTCAAATGGCATAAAGTGTTGCAGCAGAAAGAGACTAAAAATCTGTTTTTAGAAGTGCTACTGATCTTATAAAAAACAATTGTACATCATTAAGCAGTGTAATTGGTGAATAAGTTTGAGAAAGGTTCATATCTACTGACAACTGTGGATTGCAGAAAGGAAAGTTGTAGTTTAACACTTTCTTCCTCATGACTAACTCGAGCTTTTTTACATGCAGAACTTTGTTATGGTACTTTCTGAAGTACTCAACTTTTAATGCCTTCCATTTAAAAAACTGAACAATTGAACAATTTGAAAAGGAAAAGAGGAATTTTCTTTTAAAGTTGTTACAAGTATTTTGTGATTACCTAGACTGTTTAGCCTGTCCAGTTAACTGCAAACAATAAACATTTCCCTAGCAGCAGGATCTGTACCTTGTCTAGTTGCACATTTCTAAGTTCTTGCAAGTCTTGTCTCTTTCTAGACAGATTTAAATTATCTGGCTACCTGACAGAAATGAAGAGCTCTTTATCTCCGAACAGCAATTTTCTCTTGTTTCTGTTCACTTTACTGCATTTCAACATGTAACCACTTGTAACTGCAAGATACAGGTGGCAGTTCACCAAGTTCTAAAATGTATGGATTTAGGTTCAGTCTTGGCAGTGTTTTATTTCCTCTTGTCTTCCTTCCTTCCCCTCCTGCCTGTTGCAAAAATATGGGGTGTGTCTGGTGTACTCCTGTAACATATACTCAGTTTCCAGTTTGGATTGCTCTTAAGTCCCAAGAATCGAGTTAGAGATGACTAATGTAGGTCTGTATCCAGTTTCCTAGACATCCTGGAAAATGCTAAACAAGCAGTGTTAAATGTTTTTCTCTTCCTTTTCTGTAGGATTTGTGTGTGATTGGCATTGCGCTATACTGCAGTGAAGAGGTATTTTTCACTTCAAGAGACCTTGCATTAAAGGATCATGGTAGACAGTTTAATAGTTTCTTTGAGGTAAGTAATGCAATAAAACATGTAAAATCTTATTTAATATGTTTTTAATGCACTGCAGTAAATTTCAATTTGGTTGTCTCTTTCTTTGGTGTTAAAAGTGTTAATATTATGTGTATCATAGAAGGATAAATAAAAATCTTGTCTGAAGACCAAATAATCAAGTACATGCATACCAGACATAGCGTTCTTTGGTGATAGTGAAAATAAGAAAGTTCTTGGCATTTGTTTATGCTTAGAGCATCTGTTAGTGTGTGCCAATTTAATGGTATATATTATTGGAAACTTGTTATTTTGGTGGTTTGTTTTTTCCTCCTTATGAGGCTGTGCAACTGCAGTCAGTGGGCTTACACTACTGATTTACGTGTTTTAGTACCTGTGCTGCAATTCATTCAGGAATCTGTATTGCATTCCTGAAGCAGTTGCCAGTGGGCAAACATAGGAAAGACCTTTCAGACAGTTTTCCTGACAAAGGAAACATTCAGCTGTTTCTAAGCTGGTCTGTCCAGTTCTGTAGCTGGGCAAGCAAATTCAGAGAAAACAGGCAGCTTTGATGCCACATGAGCGAAAGCTGACCTGCAAGGAGGGACAGCTGCCTGCTCTTTCATTTGTGTGGAGATACTGTCAGTAATATCTCTTATTTAACTTTTCTTATGAATTTCAGATATCAGTCTTTTAATTGCAATTCTGGCATCCTTGTTAATATGTCAGGGCAGATTCCACATCAGAATGGATCTGTCAGATATTATTGACACTACCTCTACTATTTTTCCTGTTGAGGCTTCTTCCTGAATAGCTCCTGCCAAGCTGTCCCAGACTTAGACTGTTTTGCAGACTGTCATTTGAGATGAAGTCAGGAATATGAGACAAGAGTACTGATCACTTGGCTAAAATTCTTTCACTCCTATCTGGACTATCCATAGTTGGACATGAGAGACCTTCATAAAATACAACTTCTAAGGGACAGCAACCATGAAAGAAATCTCTTTTGGTATCCTCCACCTTAATTTCTGGAGAGCTAATGCTGTAGTGACAGAGGAAGAACTCTGAGAGGTGTTCCTAAATGAGGTGTTAAACAGCAAACTTTTTCTTGCTACTCCTACAATTGCACTAATGCAGCTTTGCTTTGCTCTGTGCCCCTTCCTCCCCAGTTAAACAGAAATCGGCATCATCAGTAAAAGACAGCGAGCATGTTTGCTCTTTGCAGCTTTGGTAGACTGGCAGTTTAAAGCCTGACTTTGTTTTAAACTAGTTACTTGGCTCAAATAGTGCCATGACTGTGAGAGCATGGGCTGTACCAGAAAGGAGGGTTCTTACACAGAAGCCTGAGTTAAACAGCCAGTGATCAGCTGCAATTGATACCTGATCTGTCCATGTGTACTTGAAAAGTTTTGCCTGATTTTGAGGAGCACTTGTTCTTTTTGGCTTTTCTGCACAGTAAGAATACTTAAAACAAACCTACTGAAATTGGAGAAGCATGTTTTTGTAGCTTGAGAGGGCTAACGTTAGTCAAGCATGTCAAATGAAAAGGCCTAGTCCAGAGAAGTTAGCCAAAGCAAGCTACTGAGGGAAATAACATTAAAAAAATTAAATTGCCACACACTGATTTGAAGCTAGAGGTTTACCTCAGGATAGCTTCAGTATTCCTGGCAAATTTCCCGTGTGTGTTTGAAATAATAGGTTGATACCATTGTTTCTGAGAGATCCAAACGCAGATACCAGAAATGAATTTAAAAGCTAGCTTCATTGTCCTTGAGCATGTACATACAGAGGGAAATTACAGTGCAACCTCATTAAAGAATGGTCAGGAAAAGCTTGACATGATGTAATCACACATATACTGAAAGTTTGCATTTTGGAACTGAAAATTTTAATCTGATAAGTCATTTGCTTTGAAGATTATAGTTCTCACTCAGTTCAGAACTCCCAACCTTGTGCATGATTTCAGAAGAATTTATGGGTGGAAATCTGTAGTCCTTAAGACAGATCAGTAGAGTCTTGTTTGAGGATGAAAGCATTCATTTCTTTATGCAAAGTTTGAACTCTCTTTCACATACTCTGAGGGATTATAGGGAGCAGAAGCCATAAGGGACCAGGGAGTGGGTTGGAAGATTCTGACAAGGAAGTTAAATAAAATTTGCAGAGGATGTTAAATATAATTTGCAGGGGCTGGGCCTGTCAGTCTGTGCTCTGCCTACTTAGAAGCTTCTTATGTTTTCATTGAGGGTAGTTAAGGGATCGCTTGAGCACTTGGAGAAGGGACATGAAGGTCAGCTAATGTCAGACTTGGTACTGTCATTTTGCACTTTGGAGGTCTGAGTTCTGCCTCTAGCTTTGATTTCAAATGTGATTGGCAAATCAGTTTCTTCATTCATGCCTTTAACTTCTGCTCAACGTTGTGTTATTGGGCCTTGCTCTGAACTGCACGTTTTGACTCTTTAACTGTGGTTTCTTTATAGTGCCCTACCCTGGCTCTGATTTCAGCTACCTCTGTATTTTTCTTCATCATAAATGATAGCTTTGTGAAATATAATACTTCATTCTGACAGACTTTTAAAGTGTTTTAATTGTTGATTTGTTTTGTTTTCTTAAATTGATATGGCAGTAAGGAAGTAATGACTTCTTACCTTTGAATGGCTTATTGCTATGAGAGGGGCATAGACTGGTGAGGAAGTGATGATAGGCCATGTGCAATCAATACTTACCTAATGTTCCTTTTGCAGTATGCTAGCGAAACCAAACAGAAATCTCAAGAAAAACATTCTGCTCAGTATAAAAATATAGGTATTGGTGGTAATGAAACTATTAGTATAAAAACCTCTTTCTGTTTAGGAGGTCTGTCTCTGAAAATACCTAAAACAATGAGAAATATTTAAAGGGTTACTGTGTAGCGAGTGAAGGAAGGAACTGAGAGTGGGAAGCACAGCTGGATTTTGTCTGGTCATTTAGTTTTCAGATGGATTTTGCATCTAAATCCATCAGTTTTTTCTTGCTACTCCTACAATAGCACTAATGCAGCTTTGCTTTGCTCTGTGCCCCTTACTCTCCAGTTAAACAGAAATTGGTATCACCAGTAAAAGACAGTGAGCATGTTTGCTCTTTGCAGCTTCGGTAGACTGGCATTTAAATTCAGCAAATCATTAGCAGCTTTCCTCTTTGTAGAGGGTGCGAAGCATAGTCTTTGTAGAGGGGAAGCTCAAACGTCTGGTAGAAATAAAGATACCTTCATTTGATGCTTGTAGCTTTCCGTGTTTTCTGATGAAGGGCCTTGCTACAAGGCAGCAAACCAGTCTCTAGTGCAAGTTATAGCAAACAAAAGACTAAGCTAACTGAGCCTAACTTCTAACAGGCTCCTAGGAGTCATTACAGTGGTGAGGCTTGACAGAACAAAGTTTGTTTGGGCCTGGTTCCCATTATGACTCCTTTCAGATTGAAGATGTGGGGACTGGAGTGATGCTTGGCTGCTTCTACTGAGTCTCTGGTGAGCTGTGTCTGCTACTTTCCATCTTCTGTGCCCATTAGGTTATTCAGTTTCTACAAGTGTTAGGCAGCTGGGGAAGAACCTATTTTTCTGCAAAATTATGGTGATTCTTTACATGTTTCTTGTGTGCTGGAGGTGGAGTGTTCTTCTATAAAATGAGGAGCCAGAACCAGAAGCAGGCTTAGTCCACAGTTGGGTGAAATCTTACTTAGCATTTTAGAAAACTTGCAAAGCATATGTCAGTTTGACACCAATGCTGACGTGTTAAAATGTGAACTGCCAAGAATATTTTAATTTAAACATATATGTGAAATACTATCAATGGATTCTACTTGATGCACAGACAAATAGATGTATGTAACTGGTACCGTCTGCTGTGCAAAGAATGTCATAAGAACGTCACATACAGTTTAGTGAGTCTGCTTTGGTTAGTAATGGTACTCAAGAGTCCAAATAAGTTCTTGCACTATGAAGCCCTGTAATAGGTTGTAGATATGTGGGTTTTATTAGTGGTAATTATATCACCCGTTTGCTTTTTCAGACTTCTCAGTTCGCTAGCAGTGCTGGGGTTTCAGTTTGTCATCCCACAGCCTTCAATTGAACACAGAAAGGTAAGAATTAAAAATGTTCAAATTTTAGGTACTTAAGTGTAACTATAGAAAACATTAGAGTAAGAGGCATGAAGCATGCAATCTCTGGGAATAATGTGGCTTTTGTGTGTGTGTTGTTTTTGGGGCTCTTTTAAAAAATATAAATATATACTTGGTTGAAAGAGGCTCATCATAGTTAATTAGCTGAGTGGTTTTATCAAGTGTTGTAAGTCACAAATAGGTCAGTGGCAGCTTACTCAAGCTCTGGAGGATTTTTATCATGAAAGACAAAGAGGAAGAAGAATTCATGTCAGTGAGATCAGTGGTCAAGCACAGATTAGCACAAGCATCATTTGCTTATAGGTAGCTCTTTCTCTTATAGTGATGGAGATGTCTGAAACAGAAGTTGGGCCCAAACCTCAGCTGCTAGATTTAAATTGCTAGAGGTTAGAACTGAAAACTGCTCTTGTGCTCTTGTGCATGGTTCATCATAGATGCTGGCATGGTGCACCTTCCATCCTGCTCAGCATTCTGGCTGGAATATTTAGGTTAGGTCTTTGCATGGCTTTTCAGGAAAGTAGTGGACAGTTTGAAGAGCAACAGAGGAGCAGTGATTATCTTCAAGAGCTTTTAAAAATCTTACCTCTGAGGGAAATGTGAATGAATTCAAGTTGTTTAATCTAAAGAATAGAAGGCTGGTGGGAGAGGCAGATAAAATCTCCAGATACTTATGACTGCTAAGGAGAAGGCTATTCTTTCTGTCTGCCGTGGAATAAATGAGAAGACATGGATTTAAACTGGGGGAAAGGAAACTTAGGTTTATTGTTAAAAAAATCTTAGGGTAAGGATATAAAGAAGAACAGATCATATTGACTGGGTAATGTTTAGAATTTCCATGATGGAAGTCTCTGTGAATGTGTTGGATAATTGTTTGTCAGGACTGATGTGTAAGTATTGATGATTCTGCCAGAGACCTGAGGGGAGACGCTTTGAATGCTCTTGATCTCTGTGTGCTGTGACTTTATATCAGTGTTGTTCTCATCGCTAAGTTGGTATTCAAACACAACCAATTCTGCTTTTTACTATAGGTTTTAAAATAATAATGCAAGATGTATATTTATTTTGAATGGTACTTTTTAAGGGAGTAAAAGGCAAGTTTGTGGGGTTTCCTTCTTTGTGCTGTCTTTAGGGCAAAATTTTGTGGACAGTAGCTCCATAGGTATGGGCTAAAAACCTGAAGCCATCTGATAGTTATAGCTCCTGAAGAACACAGCTGTTATGTTCAACTGCTTGTACAGCCTAATTGTAAGACAAGTTCAATGAGGTCAATAATGAAGCAGTTTGAAACTGGCATGGTCCAGCTTGCAGCATTTCTCAAGCTGCCCGAGTGCTTTATTCTTAACCTGAGTACAATGTAATATTCTTCAGTAGTTTAGGTCCCCTTTATTTTGTTGTGCAGTTGACATGGTCAGGCTGCTGCTCTGTTTTCGGTGCTCTGTCTAATTAGGCATTCTTTTGTAACATTGACAGTGGAGAGATGCTGCAATCCAGCTTTCAAATGGCCTTAGGGGCAAGAAAATCTACTAACTAAAATAGAGTAAGTTAGAGAAACAATTGCTTCATTCTGTGAAGCTCCAGAATTAATTTTTATAGAATCAGATTCTTTGTTTTCAGTCAAATGGGAAATGCCAGAGGTCTGGAGTGTCTTCTGTACTAGTTAAAGGGACTGAAGGCATGGTCCTAAGGGGCACAGTGACCACCTTGGAGCTGTTCTTTTCACTGACAACAAGACAGGCAGAAGTTTCTAGTGATGGCCTCATACAGGCTCCAGGGCTGTCATTCTTGTCTCGTACTCCGTGGGAGACGATTCTGTTCATGCCAAACTGCATTTTAGACTGGAAGTCTGTATTTATTAATTTTTTTTGAAACCTTTGGACACACCTGTCAGCTCCAGACAAGAGAAACTGTTAGCAGCTCTGAAGACCAGGTCAGGCATTTATCTAATTGAGTTAAGTTCTCTGCTTTGTAGCTCTGGAAGTTGTGCCTCTTCTTTTAATGCAGAAACCTGGACAAGTGTTTGCTGGCATCCCCAGACAGCATCTCCTATGTATTTCTGTGTGCATCTCTGCTGTTTGGCAGAGGTCCTGTGTGAGAGGAGGTCAGTTTTGCAGGAAAAAAGGGAGAGGAGGGAAAGATTTCATGAAGAATATGTCATTTTACCCTGGTAGTGAATAACAAAAGTGGTGCTTGGTAACTTTCATACACATCCTCAGAGGGTACAGTATGTGGAAACTGAGTAACTAGAGCTGAATTCTATTAAAACATAAGGTTATACCCCAAGCTTTATTTTGTGTTTATTTTGCAGCTTAAACACCTGCACAACTGATGCTTGAACGTGCAGTGTTGGGAGAGTGTTTGGATTCTGTTGTGTACCCTGCATATACTTATTCTTGCTCTGAAAGCTATGGACAGAGAAGTAAAATTAGAGAACTGGACTTGAGTATTTTGCTGAATAATTCATTAAAATATTTCCCAATAGCCTAGATCTCCTTACACTAAAATTTTGGGAAAATGAAATAAAACCTAGAACAATCCCCAGAGCAACTGATGGAAATGCAGTGTAACTGCCTCTGGACACCCACAGTCCAGCTGAGCTGTTATTTTGGGACTTGAGAACACTCATCAGGAAATACTATTTTATGCTTATATTAAAATCTTGCTAGATTTTAAACTTTTGTTTCTCTTTGGAATCCGTGTTTAAAGCCATACTAGTTTCAGAGAGGCTGACATAATGTAGATTTTTGAGCAAAAATCTGTAGTTTCCTGTCTCTTTTCTTGTGAGAGTTTTTATTTAGCTTCAGTATATTAAAAGTACTTAAAGTACCTTTTGGCTGCTTCTGACCTAGTGGCATATGTTTAGGACTTTAACATGAAGAAAGGAGTTTATCTTCTCAAGCAGCAATTTTTAATCTTTTTTTTTTTTTTTAAGAGAAATCTCATCAACAGAATGTGGAAAAGCAGCTCAGCAGGTTGCTTTCCTCAGATGCACATACACAAATCTGTTTCTGCTATGACAGTCTGGGGACTGTTAGCTAGAAGAAGTGAGGTAAATTACTTCCATAGCGGGGAAGTCAGTGGAATTAAGACTTGGGGAGATGACAGGAGATGGGAAAGCTTTATTTGTTCTTATTTGCAGTTTATTCTGTAACTCTTCTGATTTCAGAAGCTCCCACCCTCCATCCCCATACTAAATGCAATACTTGTCCCCTTCTTTTGTTACTCTGGGGAAACTTACGCTTGGCTATTAAAATAGAAATGTTTTGAACACTGGCTGGTAAGATGGTGTCTTTTGGGTGTGTGGAGTTTGGTTTTGGTTTGGGTTTTTTTTTTTTTAGTATTTGACTGGGCAGTGTTTTCTGCTTTTAGATTTTATAATGAAAGTTTTGGAAGGTTGTCTGTCATACAAAGGCAGAATTGACCAATACAGAGTTTCTAGTTTCAGAAATACCTGCTAGCTGATTTTTATATAGAAGCTTTTGTGTATATTTACTTTAAAAATGCTCTCTGCTGTCAGAAGTGCACAAAACCGGAAAACAGGGAGTATCTTTAAATCTTCATCCATCTGAGCTTATGGTGATGCTCTGTTTGTTGATCTTATCTCTGTAAATAGCACCAGTTTGGACAGTAATCTAAATACATGGTATATTTGTTAGTTACAAATAAAAACTCCTATGCAAAAGTTTTTTATGGTTTCTTGCTGAAGACAGGGGTCGTGGTATTGGTCAGTGGGTTCTTGGAGGGTTGGTGTGTTGTTTTTTTAATGATATAACTTACTTATTCCTCATTAATAGTACATAATTTCTAAATATCAGGTGTACTTATCCGTAAGGCCAAAATACTCACTGATGTTACAAAAAAAAAAAAAAAAAGAGGAAATATTGTATGAAACCAAATGATTGCCATTTGCATTTAAAATCATCGAAGCTTTCTTAAACTGATTAAACTGAAATCTTTCTTAATATCAAAACAACTGGCTTTCCATGTCCATCAGTGCTGGCCGTACGAACAGCCCTCCTGCTGCTCATCATGCAGTCAAGCTCTCTGTTCTCCCTTCCTATGCTTATTTTATTGAATAAATATTAATTCACTTTATCTGGTAAGTGTCATACTGTGATGAACAGAAGGTTAAGATACAAAACATAGCAGTGGTTCTCCCAGACGACCACTTAAGTCTGTATTCCCAGTTTTTTATAGGTCATTGCTGGACAGAGTTCTAACTAATCATGTTGCTGTGCTAAGAAAGTGAGCTGTAGTTATGCTTTGGATTTGGGTTTTTTTAGTAAAATTGGTAATGCACATAGTAATAAAGTTTGTCCAAATAGAATTTCTGATGTAAGTATTGCTTTATTTTATCATCTTGCTTCTGTTATTAGCACTGAGCTGCTTTGAATTTATGCCTATCTTTGTCACTCAGCTGTAGATTAGTATTGGTTTCAATGAAGGTACAGTATCTTAACGAACTGATTTTCAATGCATGAAAGAATTGTCAGGATTTATTTTTTGCAAGCATTTCACTGAGCCATTGAAATATTGTTCAAGAATTTTGAGCCTGTTTGGGCTTAGTGTTGTTTCTTTATAGTGGCTCTAAATTAAAGAAGAAATAAACTGGGTTTTATCTGCTGCTGTTAAATATACAAGGTCACTATGAACAGAACTCTGTATTAAAGTGAATGTGGCTGTACTCCCTACAAAATCTGGAGATGAATATGCTTTACAATGTGTGTGGTTGACACCCCCGCAGCCCGTGTTGAATTTGAATATGCTTGTTGAAGGGTCATCATGCACGTGTAAGTGGGAAGGTAGAGGAAGAGTGCACAAAGAGGGTGATAGCTTTTAAGAGTACTCTGTCAAGAATTTGGTTACTAAATCTGACTATGATATCATTTTTAGAATTTGTATAGGAATTTTGGTGCATAAATGTGACTCTACACCTTCATTTATATTGTAATAATGACAGTGAA